TACTACTTCCCCTCTTTAGGGAGATATGGAATACGGGTAATTTTCCTGACGAATGGATGACATCAATAATATTAAACTTTCCTTAAAACAAGACTCCAAACAGCCTTAAGGATTACAGAGGTATTGAACTGATTCCAGTTACCCTAAAAATGTTCACATACATCATATCTGTCAGGATTAAACCAATCATTAACAAGTTCCTCTCTAACACTATCACATCATACAGGAAGGGTAGAAATACTACGGAGTTGACTATGGCACTTAAAGTTATTCTGGAAAAGTCTAGAATGCATAAATCCCCCATCTTTGCCTTAATGATTGATTTAAGTAAAGCCTTCGATTCCATTATACACCAAAGATATGGCCCTTGCTGGAAAACATAGGAATAGATAAGCATCTGTTATCGCTAATTAAGATCATTTATGACAATCATAGCGTAGTACCTCAAAATATAAAATCACAACCTTTTAAAGCAAATAGGGGCCATAAACAAGGATGCATTCTCTCGCCTATTATTTTTAATGTAATAATGAATGATATCCTAAATAAATCCTTTAAACAAGAATATGCACTCTACCCACATTACAAGGATCAACAGCACCACAATGACATGCATAACTCTCTGAATTTTCTATGTTATGCGACGACGTGTGTATATTAGCTAACTCGGAATACAAAATAAGAAATATTTTATCATTATTTGTCAACAACTGTTATGAATATGGATTAAGAGTTAACTACACAAAAACCAAGCTTATCACCTCAAATACATATGCGAGTAACTTAAACCCCTTTAACTTTGAGGGCAGTGGCCCCTACACTTTTTGAGCGAATGAAGCAAAATACCCCCATGAAAAGTACCCCCTTGAAAAGTATCCCCCCCCCTCTTCGAAAAAATGAAAATTATGACACCCATAAATTTCAAAAATAATTTTTAATATATAATATAAATAAAATGCAAAAAATATAACTTTATAAATATTATTTTTAAATTAATAATTTAGATAAATTAGGGGAAGAGAAAGCGAAAGAATTTATAATTTCATCAGTATTTAATTGTTTAAATAAAAATTTTCCATTGATAATATGGTTAAATTATTGAGACAAGAATCTTTCATGGTACTGCGCAGTCTTGTTTTAATTAATTTAATTTTACTCATGACTCTTTCAGCAGTACATGAGGTTGTGGGAATGGTTAATAGATATTTATATAAAATTCTTAAATTAGGGAAAGCAGAAAAATTTAAAAGTAAACGATAAGGTAAAATAAATGAATAGTTTTTCCAATCTGAATCGTAAGTCCCTGAATTATCATCATCATCAGAAGAAGCTAAATATGTATTGGTAAAAATATTTTAATTTAATAAATTTACAATTCTCAGAATCTGACAAATCTTTAGATTCTTGAACCTCTAGGTCATGAGTATTAATTACATTCCCCATTTTGGCCATCTTATAAATATTTCTAAACTTCAACATTTCTTCGAAAATTTGACTTGAATTTAAATTGTAAAATTCACAGATATCCTCGATATCTTCTTTAATAATTGATTTTTCTGCCATTCCCTTTGGCGTAAAAAATGATGTTTGATGTAAATATTTCATGGAATCATCATTAAATCTTTCGTTAAACTGCATAATGATTAAATCGAGTGCAGCATAAAACACACCTATTTTAAAGCTAAAAAAAATTCCTATATTTAATGATGAAAGTATATATATACCTCTCCTTTTTGGATTGTAATGTTTGAAGTCTAGAACTTTCAAAATCAAAATGTAGATTTCTCTCCTTCATAAAATCTTGCGCCTTTGAAAAAACATCCAAAAATTCAGTGTTATTATCTATTAGATTAAAAAATAATTAACAATAATTTATATTATACTTCTCAAATTAATCAAGCAATCTTTTGTCAATTGAATTTGATTTATTGCATACCCTATATCCTTCGAAATGGTTTGCAATTTTGTACAAGCCAAACTTGTTATCAACAATATTTTATCCAAAACACAAAGTGATAAGATAAAATCAAATTTTTATATTCTAAAGACTATAGCACTAGCCATAGTGGAAGTGGCAGGATCTTCAGAATCCTTTAAATTTGTTAAAGCTGCCCTCAAGGCATCATAAAGTTGAAAAAAATTTACAATAGCTTTATATGACGATAGCCAGCTTCTAAATAAAAAAACATTTAAAATTTAAATAAATAAGGAACTATTACCGAGTTGTATTCTTGACGCGTAGAAATCGTTGCGATTTTTTCAGATCATTACACTGAAATTTTTTGAGTAATATCTTTTTGCACCATTAAAATAGACATAAATCTCATCTAGTATTCCTAGAACATTTCGAAGTTCTTTAATTGATTGACATATTTGAACAACGATTAAATTTAATCGATGACAATAACACCAAATAAAAGCTGCCTTTGGCGCCTCTGCTCTAATCAAGGCTTGCACACCATTGATTCTTCCACTCATGTTTGAGGCGCCATCATAACTTTGCCCAACTAGATATTCAAGGGGTAAATTCATCGAGCCAAGTTTGGATATTATCTTATGCTTTATATCGAGACCTGTGGTATTTCCGTACAATATATGGCAATCAGTCTTTCAACAGGCTTCGGCGTCTCACTATTTTCAACATATCTTACTATCAAAGCTATTGCTTCTGATTTCGAAACATCGTATGTGCCATCAACTATGATTGAAAAGCACCTGTTAAATGTAATCTCATTTTGAATTTTTTTTATAACCATATTTTTCATGGTTTCAATGAGAATGTTTATGTTATTATATGATAATAGGTTTAAATATAATTTCGTTTTTAATCCCTTATTTTTTTTTTATCCTTTTTTCTTTCTTCATTTTGCTGTATATACATTTTTAGTAAAGGTTCAGAATCGCAATAAGCTTAATAAGGGCCATCATATTGCCTTCTTGTTGCCTGTTCCCCCAGTAGGCTTGGTTTCGAGATATTAAATAATCTAAACATCTTATTATAATTCTTATAATAGAACGGTTATTATCTACACATTCATTCTGAGGTGTTATAAATTTTAATATCGAATTTTTATTATGAGAAAGCCTTCCATAATAGGCCATCATATGTGCCTGTGAAGATTCATGCAGAATAATATCACGATTAATATTTTGTCATTTATCTAGACCTTCACATGTCCATTTTGAATTTGCGTGTGGACCACCAAATAAGAGACATGTTAAAACTTTATACATTTTAATACTATAAGTAATCCAATTTCTTGGAATTTTGCTATTGTCAATATTGGTTAATATTTTTAGGCATATTTTAAAATTGGAAAAATAATTTATAACAAGAAATTTCGGATAAAAAATTTACTAAACATCGACCAAAATTTCAGTCAATATATTAAATTAAATATGGGGGGGGGGGGTCTTATTGTTACATTTATAAACCAGAAATCACATGATCATGATGGATGTAAAAAAAGTACCCCCATTCAAATTTACTGAAGCAGTTGCTTCGGACCCCCCCCCCCCGTTGTAGGGGCCCCTGTTTGAGGGTAATACGATAGAATTAGTTTCAGATTTCAAATACCTAGGAACCAAGATATCATCATTAGGCTTCACAATATTAGATACGAAATCAAGAATAATGCTAGACTCCGGTATCATCAACTGTCGAAATTATGGTCATCCAACCAAATATATTAATTTAAAAATAAGACTCTTTAAGTCCCTAATTGTATCCATTCTTACCTACGGACTGGAGACTTGGCAGGACACTAAAAGCAACATCAACGCAACTCAAACATTTATAAACAAATGCCTAAGAAGAATCACCAAAACATATTACCCATACCTCAAATTCAACGCTCTGGAATAGATGCGACATCCTACCAATCAATCGACTCAAGGAGATTAGAATTAATAGACCATAGCTTAAGAAACTCGCAGGAAAATATGATATACTCGTCCATGAAATGGTCCCCTGACGGTAGGAAGAAAAGTACCCCTAAATACTATTGGTTGGCGAAATGTTTGAAGAATATGGACCTGATCAACCTCTCGTTTGCAGATTTCATGGCACTCAGCAAGAACAAGAAACACCTAAAAGAACATCTAAAATACATGCTAAAATATGGCCTAAATTAAAATAGGAACCTTTCCCTTCTTTTTCTTTTCTTGCAATGGCTAGAACAAAGCAAGTTTGATGATGATAATAATCTGGACAATGCAACTTTCCTCATATGAACCCACGACTTTTTCTTCTGGACACACGATATCGGCGACAATAACGACAACAGCTACAACAACAAATAGAATAATGGATAATGATAATGAACATTGGTTATGATAATAACGCAATAACACCGACGAACCCAAATATCATTTGCACAGCTGGTACAAGGTCTACAGGACACGCCATATCGACACACCGAACAACAAACAAAGAAGGGACTCATCATGCAAACTTAACTTAAACTCTCAATACTCACCAAGCAGTGGCGTAGCTAGGAATTTTCCTTAGAGGGGGTCCATACATATATAAGACTGGGAGGCTTCGCCCCCCAGACCCCCCTTAACGGGCCTTCGGCCGGGTTTATCTTAAAAATCATAACAATATCTTCGATATTATATAATATATATAGTTAATGCATCAATAATATATTATTATAATTTAGTAGATTATCTCAATATATTATTATAATTTAGTAGATTATCTCAATATATTATCCTTCCACGAACATCAAATATATAAATATTCATGGTATTTATTTGATATAAAGTAACTTTTAAGTCTTTTGAACGTATAATCTAAAAAAAAAAATTTGCTTTGGGAGGGGTCCAAACCCGAAAAACCACCCCCGTAGCTACGCCATTGTCACCAAGATATAAGAGTTATTATTATTTTTTTTGTTGCCTCACTGAATAACCAGGTACATTATTACATGACATTATATTTCTTAACACTATTCTGCTAGTAACGTAACTAATACATCACCATTTTCGTACTTCTCCCTTCTTCACTTTGCTAGCTGGCTACATAGTGGTACCGTCCACTATAATAAAACGGATATACATCATGTATAGGATCTATATACTAGTGATAGTGAATATACTTGATGCACGCTAAACTCCTGGTGGGTGATGAAATTGCACGGCGTGGTAATGAATGAATGAATGAATATTTATATAAATTCTTCTACACATCATTACATCATTAAAAAAATTAGGGCAGATTCAATTCAGCAAGTATAACTGTATTCTTATTTATAATTTAAAAAAATCATTTTATTTTTGCTATTTAAATTTGTTTTTCTTATTATTTTGATATAAAAAGTAATTATATTGTAATAATCAATGTAGAATGAGCCTTTTATATATATTTTTAAACAAAACAATATATTTTTTCGCATTTAATATCTATTTTGACTATTAGATATATGAATATTTTTTAATTTATTAATGTGTCAAGAGTGAAAAGATTAGTTATAATGCCTGAAAATACAGAATCAAAAAATCTTATGCTATATAACAGCCTATCTAGAAAGAAAGTAGAGTACATATAATATTTAATTTATTCATTAATCTTTTGAAATTATTTCTAATATGAAAAATAACTTTATTATATGAGGTTATATCTAATTCAACTTTAGAAGACCTACATTTATACATATTGTTGTTGCTACTAATATAAATTAATTAATTGCTAATGAAATTTTATGCTGCATCTCTTTGTAGAGTTGTGTTTTACCAAAATCTAGCTCAGACATATAAAATAATAATAAGGCCAAACAGGTCTAAAAAATAATTTAAAAAGAACTCCAGCTCAGGCTTGAAGTATATTAAGATGATAAAATATATATATACTTTTACGTGATACGTGATATATAGCGCTTTTGCCCTCTAACGTTGAAGATTCAACAGAGCTACGCTAGGTTTTCCTCATTTCCATCTAATTGGAACAATTTACTTTGGGTATAAAAATAAAAATATGAGGAGCCCTCCACATGTTTGTGGGCAAGCCGCACGTACTTGTAGGCACAACATCTAGAAAAATGTTGCTTAAACCTCTATAGGCTTTAATTTAGAAGGAGTGGGACAAAGAAAAAGCCTATACCCGAGAACTATAGTATAATTTAATTACTTTAAAGGTGGGTGATGGCTGATTTTAAGCTTAATTTCTTTAATGTAAGTTATATCTGTAGATAAATATGATTAAAATAAAATAATATTTACCACCGGATGAACCGAACCCCAAAAAAAAAATCAATATACTTTTAGATTTATGAATTTTTTACACTTACATGGAATCATAATGATTACTTTATTAACTTGTTGAACTTTTCAATATAATTCTTCTAAGATTAGGAATGTAATAATTATGGATTAATTTATTTAACTTTCTAAAAGTGTTACATTTGTATTTTACTATTATCCAGGTTTGGGCTTAATAACAAATAATGTTTAGTTATACAGGATGGGAAATTATCAATCTAAAAAACATATACAATTATTTAAATTTGAGAATAACTGGATAGTTCATAAAATGAGAAATATAAAAATCTAGGCTGGTCCAAAAAATTTCAAAAAGAGGCTGGATTTGAAATTTTTAAAAAAAATCTGGGCCAGGCCTAAAATTTAAGCTTAAACAAGCCTCTGATAATAAATAAATGAAAAAATTAGGCTTGGAACAAAGAAAACTAAATTTGTAAAGTTTTATCTATTGTACAAAATGTTATAGATGGTGAGCCAGGCTAAGAAAAGTTAATTATATCTAATTTATTAGAACTATAATAAAGATTGGATACAAATATTGTGAATACAATAATAACACTAACTTATTCACATTTTTATAAATAAGGAATTTCTATATTTGTTTTTTGTCCAAAACTAAGCTGGCAAACTTTTTATATATAATAGTAACCTACATTACTCCCAGTGGTATATTTCTTAAAAATTTGGTAAGGAGAGGTTGGGGTATATCAAATAATTTGATATATATATTATACCACCTATATCTATATAAATAAAATATAGATAAATATGAATTAAAAATTATAAATTTATTATTCCTCTGTTTTCTTTGGCCTATATTATTTTAAATAGATTTTGTTTCCAGTCGATGATTCTTTTTCCATATTTTGATACATGGATCTGTAATCCAATCTGATATTTATGGTCTATTAATAATAAACATTAAATTTGACAAATTATTCACTCTTAAACTCTCTTGTCTTGATCATCTACCATTATTTAAATTCATAAGATGAAAACCCCTTTCACACTTCGCAATACTGCGGAATAAAGTATCAATACAATCAAGAAATTTTTTTAAATTTTTTTTAGGAGTATATCCATATTCGAAGCCCAGCAATCGTTTCATATTCATATTTGAATCTTTGGCTGATTTTTGTTATTTCTCTCAAAATTGTGCATCTCAGGTTTTAGGCATTCTTTTTGATATGAAGAATATATCTGAAAGAATTTTAGGGACTGCATCATGCTTTCTAGTGAAATTATAAATTGATTTTTTATTTTTATATAAAATTAATTTCAGAATTGACCAGCATCTGTAAATATTCACCTGTATAATATGTAAATGTTATTGTCAACATGTTCTTAATGATTTAATTAAGTATAATAAGAATCACCATTTAAAATATTTTATTAAAATTGGGCTATTTTGTTTGTAATGTTGTTAAATCTGCTCAATCCTAACAGTTGAGAAAATTCGCTAAATTTCAGGCGAGAGTATGTTTTTTCAAGAGCTATCCTTTAAGTTCAAACCTCAATCGAGGCTAAGATGATTAATTTCGCTTGAAAATTCGGTAAGTCTTATTAGAATTGGCTCAAAACTTACGAAAAATGCTGCCATTTATCGCCATTACTTGCTGGTCTTCACGATATTGAAGTGGATTCCGGATCCAAATAGCAAAATATAGAAAAGGAATCATCGTGGGGCTGATGAAATCTTTTCAAAAAAAATCAGCCCATAGAAATGAAAGATTTGTGGAATTTTTTTTAATTTGTATAGATATAGGGTGCTATTTTATTTATGACATTATTTTTAAAATATTATATAAATTGAGGAAATATATATTCTATTTTACATATATATGTGTGTGTATATCAAATTTTTGATATACATTTTAAAAAATTATCCCTTCTCCCCTCTTATCCGGAATCTCTAACCAGTGCACCACTGTTGGAGAATAAATTCTATAACCATCTTAGAATAAAATTTATAACACTTTCAATGCCAAATTCCTAAAACCCTTAAATATAAAGCGGTTGATACCTTATTATTTTTTAGCTAGAATAGTGCAACTTTACAGTGGGTCTATAAATATTTTTTTGCCCAAAAGCTCATATTTTTGTTTTTAGTTTTCAAATGGTGTTTAATATATATATTTTTTCGATTTGGGTTTTGTAAATCAGAATTTTATCAAAATAAGAATAAAAGCTTTCTATTATATTTAAAAAAAAATTAATAACTTAATTCCATCTAAAAGCTTTTATATCCTTTAGATTTTTTATCTTTGATTAATAATTAATTCGGAAGTTTAATTGTAAATAGTCGATATATTAAATAAATTCATTGGAAAACAAACTCTTCTTTTTAGGTGTTCAAAAATTGATAGAAATTGAATATAGCTAGCACTGAGCAAAAACACAATTTTTTTGTTTTTTAACCAATACCACTCTGTGCTAATGATCAATAGCTGATGAATCAATCCAGTAATAATGATTGTGTTAAAAGCTATAATAACTAATATTATTCAAAAATTAGTTAATACTGACATCTTATATTATAGATTTATTTAAGGAATTTTTTGGCTTTATTTTTTGGGTAAAGCTAAAAATGTTTTCTTAGTGATATCTGAGATATTTATGTTTTTAATTTGTCGCAAAATATATGGGTGCAATAATTAATCATTTGAAGGATTATATAATATCTCGACATCTTATCTACATTTGTTATATAAGTTTGGCATATTATGTCCAATGTTCAAAATTTTATTGAACATATGATAATATAAAAATTGATAAAAATCAAATCTTATTATAAACGAATAAAATATCAAGGCCAACTTAGCAATATTTTATATATTCAAATTATTTATTTAAGATATCGCCCATTGAAGTCAAAGATATTAAGAATGCTAACTCACAATCATCAGTGTTTATATTAAAAAATAATGATTTTTATTCCTCTCAGTGTTGTATATATGGATTATAGTTAAAACCTTATACTAATTAAGAACCAATAGTAATAAAATACAATATAGAGATGTTTAAACCAATGCAAATAGTTTGAACTAATTACAAGTAAAGCAGCCCCTATAACTGAAAATTAAATGTAAACAGCTTTAACGTTCATCTAGAAAATGAATATTTTTTAATTAAAATATTATTAACTTTGCCTCATATGGCTAAAAATATTAAAATAGTTTAATTTGCTAATTATTAATAGTGTATTTTTTTTTAAAAATATATATAATTTTTTTTTAAAATTAGAATATGATTTTCTTTGTATATTGTTTATTTATTTTATTGGTATATATTTTCTTGTATTCTATAATCAGGGACCCGAACCGTTATTTATAACGGTTCAGTTTGGTTACGGTTCAGTATGTAAAATATTATAATGGTTACGTTTTGGTTACGGTTCTTAAGAAAAAATTTACAAAGGTTTGGTACGGTTCAGCTAATTTTAAAGGTTCATTACGGTTAGAAAATTTTTTTTTGAAGCATCACCATCGTTTAATTTATTTTTATTATAAGATCTTTGAATTATATATAAAAAAAATATATAAGATTTAAAATAACTCATTTTTAAATATATTATAAGTAATATATTTTCTAATATAAATGGATTCATATTTGTTTGTTGTGAAGATAACACAAATTTTAGCCCCGAAAAGGCCCTTTCTACAAAAACTTGTGTTGCGGGAACCGCCAGTACTATAAGAGCAAGTTTATATAATTCTGGATATTCAAATTTTTTTGATTCCTAAAATATAAAAACTGAACCGGTTTAATCTTTTTTTATAAAGGTTCTTTTTACTCCTTCAATAAATAATTATATAGGTTCGATTACGTTACGGTTCTGATATTTATATTAAAAATTAAATCGCCCCAAATAACGGTAACGATAGAAAAAAGTGTACACCTATAATTAATTGTAACTAACGTAACCATGAATGTAGCTTAACAGTCTACACCCGATAACTATACACTTAAAACTTATAGGGATATACTAGACAAAATGATTTGCCGCTCACATCATTGCCCCTTACACGTGTGAATTTGGCGATGGGTTTATCGTATTTAAAAAAAACACACATCAAGGACTTGTTTCCATATTACTTTTGAAATGAGATTTATTAGGGCAACACTCAAAGCGAAACTATTTTCTGATCTTTTTGATGATGCAAACCTGTTAATTTTTATCCATCATTTCTTTATTTCCGAGGAACAAAATATATTCCATATTAATCAAAAAGTGTTGTTGGTTTTTAAATTAGCATATTTAATTTGAGATTTCTCAACTATTCCTTTATTTTTCCGGGTAGTGTTGTTAAACGGCTCGATTTAAATTAAGATTGCAGCTCAAATAATATTTTTCAAGCCTCTAGATTTCGTTAGTAGATCTATAACCCTTTCTGCCATCTATGAACTAAATTTTTAGGCTTGCGTAATTATTTTTTGGCTAAAATATTGGGTTAGCCCGTTTTGAAAAATTGAGCCATTTTACAACCCTACTTCCTGGTGAATTTCAGTGGTTATCTTTGGAAGTTGGAACAAAGTTATATTACAATTATTTGCAATATATTTTGATTATAAAATAAATTACCGATTAGCGTATACTTAATGTTCCTCAAAATTTCTTCAATATAATTTTTTTTCCCCATTTTCTTTTAAACTAACCCCCCCCCCCCTACCCAAAAATAAAATATCTTGAATTTTTTTTTAAATTATTTGTCATATAATTTTTAGAAAATTTTGAGTGTGTCATTTATCAGAAGCCTGGACAGACTGCTCCCCAAGTCATACCTATTTATTTTTTTCAAATTGGGTAAGGCGAACCCGACCTAGTTCTTTGTTTTTTTAAATCGACTCTAGAGCACGGAGCTATGAAAAATTTTTTGACCAAAATCGGGGGGGGGGGATTGCCGAATTTTTATTTTTCTTGCAGAAACATCACCAAAAATAGATCCGACATTAAAATATACCTTTTTCATTTTAATAATTAATAGGAGCTGTTCGTACCGGTTAATAGCAAAAAAATACATTGGTATACCTGTGGGCCGACGGTTTACGATGCTTCACACATGGGGCATGCTCGGTAAAAATTATTAATATTTATATCAAACTTCAAATTTTACACTATTCTAGGTCTTACATTTCGTTCGATATAATAAGAAGGGTTTTAGAATCATATTTCAATTACAACATAATGTACGTCATGAATATAACAGATATCGATGACAAGGTACGAAACACATAATTTCTTGAATTAAGTATGTAGTTTTATCAAATTTTAGGGCTAAATTGGGTTTTTAAAACAATATATCGTCAACTGAGTATTATAATATTCTATATCCATTTTTTTTTAAAAATTGTTGACGAGAGAATTTTAAAAAAATATATATTTCATGTATTTTTAATAGGAGATCACAATGTAATAATACAAATAAAAGGATCATTCTCTATTAGGGGAGGCCAGAGTCGGCACAATTTTTGTCAAAATCATCAGAGCTCCGAATATAATGATCGTATAAGATCTTGAAAAATATCAATCGAAACCTTATAAGCACTTATATATAAATAAATATACACTGTTATATTTTATAAATATTTGATAATTTGTCCAAAATAAGATTAGTAAAAGTAATTTTTTGATCCTTATAGCCCCAAACCCCTGAATATCGGATCATAAATAAGGCTTGTCGAATCAAATGGCTAATTAGGCTTCCTGTGAGACACAGAATAATTTTCTTCAGATTTTCATATATGCTTTATTTATATTATATTATTTACAATTATAACAAATAAAATAGCATTTTTTGACACAAAATCCATGAGCTCAGCCTTTACACACTACATTGAAACCAATCTTCAAAATCGTGAAAATTTTATAGCCCTGATTATTTATAATACAAACATCTTTTATTAATATTTTTTTGATTTTTTATTCTGCTATTTTAATAAAAGCTGCTTCTTGAATGGGGATAAGGTAAAAATCTTAGCTATAATTTTTTAATACCTTTTTAACAGATACCATAAAAAATTTTTACTTCATGAAATTAGATATTCAACCTATTTATTTTCCTCATCATCAAATACTTTTTTTACTGTCTAGACATATTTTTTATAATGTCTTAAAAATTTGTAGTAGGTATACCTCATAATAAATTCACTCAAAATTTATCTAATTCTATATTTAAATATATAACAATATTTGAATCTTATTTTCAGGCCAAAATAAATATCCTCTATGTAATAATTTGAATCATATTATATTGTCAATTTAGATATATATAAATCTTTGTTTGCTAGATATAATTCATTTTAAATAATTGATGTTATTATCAGGCTAATATCTATATAGGGTAAATAGGTGTTCATATTGATTAATTAAATATAATTTGAATGTAAACAAATAATATGTCAATCGCATATATATGAAGATTCAAGATATTTATTTAGGTCTGATATCATATTGAAATTAAAATATATTATGAAAAATTACATTAATAAATTTATAAAATATTATATTTTGACCTGTAATAGATTTCACTTTTCTTGAGATATCATTTTTATACAATTTTATTGCTTCTTCATAATCCTCTTTATGGTGAAATTTTCCTTTGAAATTTTTATATATTCGAGTACCATATAATAATATTAAAATTGATTGATTGGGCCGACAAGCCACGATTCTACTAACCCCAATGGTGGTAATATCACAAATATAATCTTAACATATATTAAAGCCTTACATATCAATCTGAAACCTTCCTAAATATCAAAATAGAGTTTTTATTGTCCATTTTTGTCATGTTTAAACTTTTAATTTTTTAATACAACCAAATAATGTAAAGTGATAATATTGTAATTTTCAAGCCAAAAACATGTCATAAAATTTTGAAGTTAAATAATATAAATTATTTTCTTCCCCAAATATGGATATCATAGAATTTTATTTTAGAATAAAATTTTAACAAATAATCGTTATTAGTTTTAAAAGCTAAACCGACAAGCTCCTTGTACCAACTAGCCCTGGTTTCCCCTATATTTTAACATTTTTATTGTGAATATAGGAATTAAAAAAGGTGCATATAGAAGATTATAATACTCACTACGATATAGACTAACCCAAGCTGATATTAGGCCTTAATTTAATTATAATGTTTAGGAAATTTTGTCTGGTCACTTGTTTTTTTTAAAAAATTTATTTTTGTATGACGACCATGCCAGAGCGTTCTAGAAGTCGGAAATTGAGCGTATGGTAATCATTACAAATATTACAGTTTATAAATTTGAAATTTAAATATGCAAATTATTCGGAATCCTAGCAAGCAGACTTTATAGTTATAAACTGCAAACATTCCAAATAACTAAATTTTAAGTACCGATATTTTAACGCTCGATTTTAGACTTGTTATAACTAGTGTTGTTAAACGACTCGATTTGAGTCGATTTTTAAAAACGGCTAAATCGATATTATGGCCAGAAAAATGTTGCCTAAATCTCGAGATTTCGCTAATAGAAGTCTTAACCTTTATGTCTATGACCAAAAACTCCATGCTTGCGTAATATTTTTCTGAATAAAATATTTAGTTCGCCATTTTTAAAAACGGCTCTTTATCCAGCTGTTTAACAACTCTACCTTTTAATAATTATGCACTCTAAATTAATTATTGTAGGAATTGTTGACATTTACGCTTCATTTTTTTAAAGATTATTAAACGCGCCAGACAAAAGTATCGTTTCAAAAAATATGTCGAAGAAAATCATACCTTAGATCAAATATTTCAGGACGCGATAATAGCTTTGGAAGTTATTTTTATAAATATTTTCAAATTCACATTTTATTTATTTTTTTCTTAAAAAAATAGTTTTTTTCGGTCAAAATGAAGAAAGATACAAATCCCGATGCTAAAACATTGGAAAATATTATAATAAAAAAAGTGAACGATGGTATAGAAAGATTGCGCCACATGGTAAATTCAAATATTAAAACCGAGAATATTGAACTGGAAAAAGAGGTTGTTTTTTTTGGTCTTCCATAAAATTTTTTATATTATTTATTCATTGATACAAATATAGAATTTTTTGAATCAAATATCCGACGTCTTATCGGATTGGTTAGATATTCAGCATAAATATAATATAAATGACGACTCCATTTATTTCGATTTACCTCGTGTTTGGGAAAAAGAATTTCACGATGATATGAAAAATCTAAATGTAAAAATTGATTGATTGTTTATCTTCCTTTTTTTATCATTAATATTGTTATATTTTTTTTCTTCTTTCCTTCATTTCTTTTTTTTTCTTAAATATGAAAGATTTCCTTTCGTTGCTCTCTTCATTAACTTAAAAGGATTTATGTGAATTTAATTAACAATCATACTTAATTATGAAACAGATACTAATTCCAAACGCACTCACTCGTGTTACCGAATACATTCCCGAAATAGTAAATTTCATCACCCAAATAATTCAAAACGGATACGCGTAATTATATACTCATTGTTTACTAACCTTTGTTGACTATTCATTTATTAAAAGCGTACATACATAGAAATCAGCTGTAGGCATTTATATGGCCTGCGAGTATATTACATGACATTTATCATAGTGGTTATTTTCAAGGCTCTGATTAGCTTGCAGGTGATGTGCCTGAGTTTGTCATTTATATAGTGCCATATAATGATTGGTCCAAAAAATGAAAATATCGAAAGGATCAGATACAATCGGGCAAGGAGAATAGTAGAGTGTAGTTTTGGGATTTTAACCTCAAAATGGAGATTTTTATTAAATGAGGTAGAAGTTAGTTTACCTGTTTTTAAAGACATAAATAAAGCATGTTGTATTTTACATAATATCATTTTAACCAAAGAAATACTAAATATAACAAATTTTGAATTTGGGGATTCAGATCTTCCTTTATGGAACCAACAGAGTATTAAAAATACTTCTGATCAGAATAAAAATATTAGAAATTTATTTTGTAATTATTTTAATAATATTGTTATCTTGCCATGGCAAAATAATATTTTAAACTAATATTCATTTATTCACTATTTTGTAATATATAATTTATAATATGTTTGACAATTAAAATAAATTTATTAAAAATAAGAATATATGAAAGATAAATATATAATTTTTTTAATTGACTTTCATACAAAAAAATAATTTGTATAATATTCATTTTCACTTTATCTATATGGTCTGAGGGTAGAGATATGTTTCATCACCTATGAATTTTTCAAAAGAGGATACTTTTTTTTTATTTTCCTCAATTACTATTTTTTTAATATTTCTTTAAAAAAAAAATTTCTTTTTTTATCTGAGGTTGTTGGTAGATTTTTATCTGTACCTATATTTTCATCTGAAGTGATATCACATAATGGAGTGGAATTTGATAGTTAAATTGGATTTTTATAAACGAGGTGTTAACGTTTTGTTTAAAAATGATAAAGATTCATAATATGGCCCTGCTGAAGCACTAGGATTATCCATTGTTTTTTATCATCTTTATTTTGATAATCTCTAAGATTATTCCATTTTGTCTTTAAATCATCACCTAAAAAATTTATAATAGAGGTAATTGATCACATTGTTTGCTCCATTAAATGATTATTGAAAGATATTGATTATCAAATTTCAGAAAAAATGTTAAGCTTAATCTATTTTTCTAAATTACATGAGAATAAAACATAACAATATATAGCATTAATATTTTTAGGGTGATTTTTATTAAACCGTCAATAAACTATAATATTAGAATTAAAATAAAATCCTATTCAATTATTTTTACCAAGAACTAGAAGATAGAAAAAGGATGACAAATGGAATAGTAAAATATAATTTATTTAAAAAAATCTATGTTATATTTTATCAAGTTTTAATACCTGTTTGACCAAACTGCAAACCTAGATTTTTGCAAAATTGTGCTTTCTTGTTTGAATTTTTATAATCATCATCCATTTTATCATATATATTTACATCCTCCACTATCTATTAAATTCATTATATTAATTTCCATTTTAGTAAATGTTATATGTTGTTTTAACGATTTTTAAATATATGCCGGATCAAAAATTCAAAATGTTTTGACTTTAAAATTTGCCGGATCTCTTTTTAAGACGGAAGGTATCGAAACGGACACACTATGAACATTTATATCATTTTTAATGATATTGACCTTTAACGGAACGGGTGTAAAAAAACGGATCCGTCTCCACTATGAACTCAGCCTAATATAGTAAGAAATAATAAAATAAAAAAATATTTATCTTTTGCTTGATTTTATTAAAATTACAACCTATACAGTTTGGGAAGTTCTAAATCTCATCAAAGCCTTGAGCAATTTACTTAAACATCTCCAATGGGTGGGTTGTATAATATCCCATAAAGCTTTGGTTGTTTCTACTAGTAATCTGCATCGTGTTAATTTTTCAAGCCCAGCCTGGCCCGAAATTAACTTTTATTAGTATAAATATTAGGGTTAGATCTCAATATTAATTATAAAATTTAAAATTATTTTAATATATATATATATAATAAGCTGATTTTGAGAAATAAGTATATAAATCTAGTTTTAATATTTTTATATATATTTATAAATAAGATATAACCTATCAAAATAAAGCAGAAAACGCTAGCCAAGATCCAAAATAATTAAAAAACTTACCGAAAATCAAAAATCTAAATAACCCGAAAATGAGGGAACTTACAAAAATCACGAACCTACGAACAATATAAGACTTACAATGATCAATATATATAACTTTCTTAAACACAAAATTATCAAAACAAATTGCATTTATTTTTTTCTTATAAAATTAAATTTTCAAAATTTAATAACAAAAATTGATCATTAAAGAATGGTCTTTTATAAATTTGCGCATAAAATTAATAATCAAAAAAAATGGTTTTATAAATTTTAATATAAAAAAATTAATGATCATTAAAAATCATTTTTAAAAAAAACGATAAAAAAAATCAAGTTAAAATGATTGACATTTCAACCAAAAATAAAAAAAAATGCAAATTACAACATAAACTAGTTACGAAAAAGCTATGATTATCTACCTCAGCAACTTTTCATCTGAAGTAATTAGTCTTAATAAAATTTGTTTTTATTTTTGTAATTTTAAGTTTTATAAGATCCAATATGTAATAAAACTCTTCCTATTTTTTATAGTGGAATTATAAAAATACTATATTTAAAAATATACTCACATTTTTCATACGCATATAATTATAGAACTTTATTATTTTTAAGTAATTTGGGTAGCAAAGTAAAATGCGCTCCCTCATTTCTTCTTTTCGAAGTAACTATATTTTTTACTTTCTTAAATAATTAACTAAAGAATGTTTGTTCATTTAAATAAAATAATGTTTAATCTGTCAAAACCGAAACGTTAAAAAAATTCATTATGAAAGCCTTGTCGGACGCCGTCATATCAGTATTTTGACGTAAAATTGGATCCCGTCTCCACTATGAATGCAGCCCAACTTCTTCAAATTAAAAAATATATAATTTAGTAAAGAATAATCCACATAAAAAATTAATATATACATCAAAAAATCGCAAATATATATTTTTTTAAATATAACAGTAAAAAAATATTTATTTATATATCAAAAATAATCAAATCTTTAAACTCTAGTCCTAATAAAAATAAATTTGTTAAATGTAAGAGAATATCTCTAATAAAATAACTAAATTTTAAATGAAAATTCTAATGACCGATAGCATAATATAAAGACTTCGCTGATCGAATCGACCTAATTTTCAATTCCGTATTTTAAAATAAATCCTGAATGATTTCCCTTTAAAACCAGAGGAAGGCTAAACAACCACTTTATAAAAGAAATTAGGAAGATCTAATTAGAATTGAAAAGGAGTCATTTTTATCAGAAATGATATAAGACGCTATCTTCCTTAACAGCAGATAAAATCTAAAATAACCAACGATAATTAAGATATCTTAAAAGGCATCCAAGTTACTAAAATCTTTTAAAATTATTTTCCAAATTACGTCTCTGTGACAACACTATTGTCTCTTCTAACTATATGGAGTATTCATTATATGGAACTTTTTAACTCACGTGCTCCGACACCATTCCCTGCACCCGAATTTAGTAATATTTAAATAATCTCCCAAAATACCCACCTTGCATACCACCATATGGCATCTGCAGCTGATCCTTATGTAACGTTCAAACACATTTTAATGAAACAATCGTTAGTCTATAGTAATATTAATATCATTGTATAATATAGTACATAAAAATTTAAGATTTATCTTTTATAATATATAGATACGTTTCTAACGGATCCGTTTACTTTGATACGATCAAATTTGATCAAGACCCTAACCATCATTACGCCAAATTATTACCGGAGGCTTTCGGAGATCAAAAAGTTTTGAACGAAGGCGAAGGTATTTTTTTAAAAAATATTTTTAGGGATGCGCCATTTTTTGAAAATAACCAATCAATCGATTTATATCGGGTATCGGCCAATAATTTTTAATTGACTCATCTAAAACATTTTTAAAAAAGTTTAAATAACTATGCCTAGGCGAATTAAGCATCTCGGAAGATAAACTTTCGGAGAAGAAAAGCTGCAACGATTTCGCCTTATGGAAAGCTTCGAAACTAGAAGAACCCAGCTGGTATTCTCCTTGGGGCAAAGTGATTTTATTTACAAATTATACAGCTAGGAAAATAGAATTTTGAATTTTTTTATAAATTTTAAATCAATAATATAAAGCTATATAAAATTAATTTATGATAATTTTCTCTTTATTTATAAAAATAGGGAAGACCCGGATGGCATATTGAGTGTTCTGTAATGGCGACATCCATATGCGGTTCGAAATTAGATATACACGCAGGAGGAGTCGATCTTAAATTTCCGCATCACGACAACGAAATCGCCCAATCTGAGGTATACTATGTGTTTTAACTTGATTCACTTTTTTCCACTGTCTATTAGCATATTCATTTTTAATTTGAATCCTTGGTATCATCGTAAAACGTAAATATGCTGCAAAACATATGCTCTAAATAAATTAAAAAATCGGAATTTATAATGCCTAAAATTAATAAGTTGACTATGCCACTATTTATTTCGAGACCAATTTATTTTTTAAATGATTTATTTTATCGAAAATTCACAGGCTTACTTTGGCGACGATCATTGGGTTTCCTTCTTTTTACATTCCGGCCATCTAACTATCGCCGGTTGCAAAATGTCGAAATCTCTTAAAAACTTTGTCACCATTAAAGATGCCCTGAAGCAGTATACATCCAGACAACTCAGGCTCACTTTTTTATTGCATTCTTGGAAGGATACTTTGGATTATAGTCCTAATACCATGGCCTTATCCCTGCATTACGAAAAAATGTTGAATGTAATCGATTATTCATTTTATAACGCATTTCCCATTTTTGATGCATCTTGTTATTTTATTTCCCCACCGCCCATTATTAACTTATATATTTTTTTCTTTGCGCGTTGCGTTGTTAGCATTTAAAATTCTTTAAATATTATATACTCTTTGCTTTTTACTTGTAATAATTAAATTTCTTTTATGTTAAAGTTTTCCAAAAGCTAGCTCTTGTTTATTTCAATTTCGCAATTCGGTAAATCGATTTCTTGGATTATAAATGAATTTTATGCAATGTCTCACAATGATCAATTTTATTAAATTTTTTTACAGGAATTTTTTTTGAATATGAAAGATGTTTTGCGGAAGGCTCCCAAAGATTGCCAAACATTTACGAAATGGAATGGCCACGAAATGCTTTTAAATAACAAGTTAGTTTTTATATGTTCCTATTTTTGTAAAAAATAATATTATAACATTTTACAACATCTAGATTATTCGAAACTAAGTCAAAGGTACACGATCATTTGTGCGGTAAATATTAATCCTTATTAAATTGCGTTATTTTATTTTTTAAAATAAACGATAATAGATTCAATCGATACGAAATCTTGTCTGGACGATGTTAAGGACTTGGTCAATTTCACTTACATATACCTGAAAAATGTGACTCAAAACGCTGGCCCTAATTTCGATATTATCCGTCGAATTTGTGTGGAGATTACGGATCTGTTTAAGGTTATTCAATTTTTAGGCTGATTTCATGTATTATTTTTAAAAAATTTTAAATGGAAGAAATCATGGATTATAATTTAAAAATCAACAACTAGTAATTGTTTTTGGCCCGGTTTGGTGGCATGGCCCATTTAAATCAAAAATTTGCATTATTCAATGTTTTAATAAGAAGATTCGGACCAGCTATTAATAAACTTTTGCGCAGCCCGAAAAATATTTTGTAAAAATTGCTAATAATATACTTTAAATCAACTTCTTCTTTTTATATTTTAAAACTCATTATTAAGATAAATTAATTATATTTTGACAGATTATGCATATTTATTTTTACAAATTATTATGAACTTAGATTTTTGGAGTATATGAAGAAGAAGCTAAAATTGGACCAACGTTCTCTAATAACGTTGATAGCATTATGAATGTAAAACCTACCATTTCATTTTTACAAATTATTATTTATATTTTTTTTTGAATAGAAAGAAGATCAGATTCTACCTTATTTGGAGGTCATCGCCGACTTTAGAGATTGTGTTAAAACATCTGCCATACAATATAAAAGTTTTGTTCCAAAAAATATTAGAATTTTATGAAAAATTTACCATTTCACCCGAAATGTGATTTTATATCAGAGACCTGCATGCCTTAAACCCGGATACACGAGCCGGGCTGTATATTTTAAATCGTCATTATTATAGCTATAAAAAATAAATATAATATATTAGAAAAAATCCGTGCCGGGCAAATGATGCCTGCAGGTCTCTGAAATATAAATATCAAATTCCCTATTTTCATTGGCTCAAATCTTTTATAAAAAAAACCCCATTAGAAATAGGGAAAAATTTTTGTATCAATTATGGTCTGAATGGATTATAAAATATTAATGGAGTGTTTATTGGAAATTATTATTTAAGATCCTAATTCTATTATATATGTCGTGATGTATAATCATTTAGGGATTTATAATTTGAAATAATCGGCTTATTTTATATAAGCCTTATTTATTTTTAATTTTTTAGGTATGATTTTGATGTTAAATTGGTTTTGGTATATTTTAATTTTAATGAAAAAATTTATGATTTGTTATGTTAAATTAATAAATGCTATGATATTAATAGGAATATTGTTTTTTTATAGCTTATTCCATGCTGAATGCATTTATTAATGGGTTGAGAATGGAAAAACTTTATTTTTCTCGTTTTATGTTTTGTCATTTTTTCAGTTAAACTTAAATATTTGATATTCACTAATTCTTGCTCATATCACTCTAATCTATAACCTCATTCTCTTCTAAGCTACCTATTTTAGTAATAGTTTCAGAAAATAAATTTGTCCTAAGCCGGGGATCGAACTTCGATCAAAATAGCTTGCTGCGCTTAAGTTCAAGTCTGTACCCTCTAAGTGACATCTTAAAAAAATGATGTTTTTTTTGTATATGTTAGCGACAATGTATTATTTTTTTAACATAAAATCATTTTTTTGGGCGCGTTTTTTTAAATTTAAATCTGATTTTACCGAAATGTATTCCTTCATATTTAGAATACTTTTTTATCGTTGACATTTGAGTCATTTATAATTTATATGAAAAATCTATGGAAGAACTAATGTAAATTATATTAAGTTAAAGAGTACATGACTAAATTGTCTGAAATTCATAGGGTAGGCCAGACATGGTGATAGGTTTCCGGTAAAACGCGCTCAAAATTAATATAAAAATGAAAATATAACACATTGCCGCTAATATATATAATGATAGTTTCTCAAACGGAAGAATTTTTTATTAAAACGAGTTTTTCTTATTGCCTCTCACACGTCATATTTATCATTACTAATATATACTCACCCTTGAATGCACTGCTTTAAACTTTATATATATATAATAGCTAATTTATATTAAACTTGGCTAATAATTAATAAACATTGCAATTTTGATTAATTATGGGACAAAAGATTATAACAAAAATATCAAACATTAGAAATATATAAATATAGCATTTAAATAAAATCAATGAGACAGATATAAAAACATAACTATGCAATATTATTTACTTATATATTGTTCCATTGATTTTATTTTTTTTTATTATAATTTGTTGTTAACCTTATAACTAAAATTTTAATTTCCTGAAATTTAATTTTTGATTATGAGATCTAAAATTTTTAAATATTTTATTAGCTGATTTACCCAAGCAATTTAGGGAACTAAAAACCCCTAAAATAAGGTATGGGCACTTAATCCTAGAGCTTATTTTAAAATTTTAATGAATCTGAAAGGTTTATTAAACTATATCAAATCATTTGCAAACATAAAATAACACACTTTAATAATAAAATCATTTATAAAAAGAAATACCATCATAATATACATACGGTGTTCAAAATGGTTTGATTCCAATCCATAGATAAGACAGGCCAAACATTTGCCCTAATAATAATAAATATAAAATATTGAGAACCGAAGTTGATAAAATATGGATAGCGATGAGTGTAGGATAAAATAAAACCTTTTTAGACAATGAAATACATAACATGCCCAAATTATCTAACTTTGAAGTTCCTGATAAAGAAATATCACCTATAGCCACCTGACGCAATGTTAGGAGTTGCAATTATAAATCCGCTTGCAAAAGCACATAAAAACATGCATTAATAGTAACTGTTTCTAAGAGATCAAATTCTTGGAGCAATAAATTGTCACAAGAACAAAAGACGTATTTTTTTGAATTATGATATATAGTATTTTTCTCTGTATTATGTTTGCAAATGATTTGATGGATTTATCCTAAGAAAGAATATAAGTTTTTAAATAAATAATCTGCACTACCCATTTTCTCTCGTGGGCTTAATTTTTCTCAATTTATAGGACTTTTTTCGCCACTTATATCTGGTAAAAATATATAGGAAATATTAAAAATTATTACTCACTCTCATAATCTAAAATTTTGAAGGGCTAACCAAAATATTTTGCAACATTTTAATTTTGAGATGGAAAAATAACAATAACTAAATAAGGTTGATGTATTTTAAAAAATCGACTCGTTTTTAATTATTCCAAATCTTTGTTAATATTTAACAGATTCGATCCCATATTTATAATGCGATAAATATAATTATTTATTCTAGAGCATGATGTCAGACTATTTTTTTTAGGTCCAGCACTGTCCATAAGGAGAAAAATTTTGTCGAACTACTATTATTTCATTAACATTATATTCTATCTAATTAAAAACTAATTGTAGATTATGAAATTTTGAAACAATGTGATGATTTGCGCGATAATATCTTACCGAATATCGGCGTGCGACTGGAAGACAAGAGTATTATAAATTTTTCTTTTTTAATGTTTGAGATATTTTAATTTATTATAGACGGTGTATCGGTTATCAAAATAATTGATAATCAATCAACACCAGAATTTGACCAAGATCTAATCACCAAACAAGCTAAAGATGTTGAAAAGTTAAAGCTAAAGGAACATAAGGTATTTTTAAATTAAAGTCAAAAAAAATTTTTTTTTATAATAATAACATGGGTTAGGGTTAATTAATGGTTTGAGAGATATATGTTAGTGTTGAGATATATTAAAAATGGTTTTAAATCAAATTTAATCAATTTAATTAATAGCTTGTCATATCTGACATGTCATATAATTAAAAATGATTTTCTTGGTTTGGACCGATTTATAATATATAATTTATGTTAAACGAATCGATTCATATTTTACGAATAAGGAAAATATTCGTCATATTTTTTTAGCTTTTATTCGATCGCATTGTTCGTATAATTTGATTCAAAATTTATCAATATTAGACATTATATTTCCACATCTATAAATCACTTTTCATATTTTAATAATCTAATTTTTTCAGAGTATTTTTAAAGAAGAAAGATTTCTGGTCAAATGTATAGTAAAAAAAAAAATCTTATATTTTCATGCATAATAACATGCACAAATTGAGTTTGCCTTTGGCCTTAGTTTTTTAATATAAAAAAGCGTAACGCATCCCTTGTTTAAATTGAGGTTATCTTTTTATTTCGATTAATCAAGTCGATGTTTTTATTATTCTTATGAATACAAATAATGATATAAATTTTTGATTTAGTTAAAAAAAGAAGAATTATTACAAATCCCGCCAGAGAAATTATTCTTAAAAGAATCCGATAAATATAGCAAATTTGATGAAAAGGTAAAATTTGTAAGATTTACATTCCTATAAAATAATTTTTTTAGGGTATTCCAACTCACGATATCAACGGAAATGTTGTCACAAAATCTCAATCGAAAAAATTGATGAAGATTTATCAGCAACACGAACTTAAATATAATGAAAATATTAAAAAAATTATTAGCTCTCAATAAATTAAGTGTTGTTTGGTTTATGGACTCGTTAATTTAAGCATACACAAACGATGATAGGCTCCATATAAAATTAAGTATAAATACTTCACTCGATACAGATACATATTATCAAAATTTGGTTGAATTCATTTACACCTAGTTAATAACACAATGTCAAAACATTTTTTTAAAATGTCATTACTCTTAATATATTTTCATGATTATACTTTGATTTTCTATATAATGTATAGTACATAGTAAATTTCCGGTAAGTTCTGTTCATTGTTTTGTTTGAGTTAAATGAATCTTTAAAAATTGAGAACTCGTTAGATCATTACGAAATTTTGGTGGAAAGTAACGACAGACGTTCTCCTTTTTGTTGGCAAACATCTTTTCATTCCCCGTCATAAATTTATCAAATTCATTCAATGATAATTACAAAATGTTTTCATGTTATAAGGGGTGATTAAATTTTAAAAATATTAATCAATACTGTTGTAATTGTTGAAAAAAGAAGAAATAAATTTAATATAATACATAAAATGTCAGTTATTTTCTGACAGGGGAATTAAGTTTTCCTTGGGGGAAGAAGAGGAGATGATGATCACGGGGTGTATTTCATTGTTAGGAAAAACCCCTAGTGGGAGATGGGAAAATATTGAATAAGATGTCAGCTGTGAACCTTTGGGAGATGAAGAAATGGATAATAATTATATTAAATTTTGGTATATTTTTTTATGTTAATGTATAGAGATTGTTGTTGATGTTTTTAAAAAATAAATTTGAGTCTTATTATTATGAAATTATGGTTTGTTTTGTGTTATGGGATATGGTTTGTAATATTTATGGTTTGATATAGAGGTTTTTGAAAAATACCACTTAGTAATAAATTTTAGGGGAGAGTATAGCTCAAACATCCTCTTTGTTAGCAAGCATTATATTTTTTCATTCTCCATCATAAATTTATCAAAATCATTCAAAAATAATTATAAAATATATGTCATGTATGTTATAAGGAGTAATTAAACATTGTTAAAACAAAACACCACACATTTTTTCGAAGGAAGTTATAAGAGGCGCATTTAATATATTTAAGTATTATTGCCAGGAAAGGACATAACCTATTACAAATTGCATTTACGCATCATCTTCATCATCCAAACATTTCCTTATATTGGAAAATTTTGCTTTCCTCTTTTTGTCCATTATTTCTTCTGTATTCTCCTTCTCGGTACCCCTTTTTCCGACTGTTTCTTTCGTATTTTCTGACACCGGTGAAACTGGTTTGGCGTCTTTATTCCAACTTTTTGTTGACTTATCCTGAGGAGCCTTACGTTTAAGCTTTTTTTTCATATCTGGTGTGGCTGGTTTTGCGGTACTAACTTTAGGCGAAGGCCCGCGTGACCTTCCTGGATCTAAGATCAATTAATAAATATTATTATGACAAATGTAATATTAATATAAATTAAACCTGCAGGTTTAGTTAATTCATTTTTGCTGCTAAACTTGTTTACAGGATTTATGGAAATAGGGACTTCTTCCATGGCAGCTTTATTGGGTGGTGATATAACGCTCAATTGATTAGTTGGACTTTCTCGCTGAATTTATAATAATGAACTTAAAAAAAATCGTAGATAATTTATATTATCATTCGTAATTTTTAATATAAATCAAAATTAACATTAGCGGTTGGATCATTAAATATGAAAATTCTCAGTTCTAATTAGACTATCTAATTTTTTGATGATTTTTTTTTCTTAACACTGCGTTATTTTTTTGGAATAATGCCTTCATCAGATATTCAAATTTTTGAGAGTAGAGACATTTGTTTTAGTTAAAAAATGCAAACTTTGGGGGTCCTTTTAAGTTTAATTTATCATGCGAATCTTTTGCTATTAATGTTTAACTCAAACATGCTAAATATAGCGATATACATTTATAAAGTAAAGCTGTTACTTTGTTTAAAGGTATTAAGTCACAAAGTATATCAAAACACAATAGACCTATACTGTTACAGCTTGTTTTTTTTACTATCAAAATGTTTATAACTAATTTATGAATACTATTATTTTTTTAATTTTAAAAAGTAGCATAAGCTATGGACACTGACATTCAATTCAAAAATTTCTATGAAAAATAAGTAATGCTAATATACATTTTGATATGTGTAATAATATTTAATTTTATATAATAATATGCATAGTAGTTAGTAATTTGACAAATTTTAAAACCCTTGTTTCTTATTTAAATAAAGATCATAAAAAATTTATAATTCTACGCTTCTCTTATTTTTTTAAAATATTTTTCTTATAATTTTGTTCTCTTGATTGAATAAACTTTTAATATTGTTATTCCTCCTCATTATGGAATTGAAAAACTTTACATGGGACTTTACCTTTTTTAAATGGGTATTCTTGTATAATAAACATACATTCACTGAAGATAGTGGTAACTCAAATTAGTAGGAAAAAATCTTGAATGGCACAGAATTTCAATAAAAATGTTAAATCCCTATTAATATAATTTTTTTCCAGCTAATGTCAAAGCTCCTTTCTCTAGATCATATAATACTTCTTCCGTAATTTCAATTTTATTGGTATAATCTTAACAAAATTTAAGGGCAAGACACTTTGTTTTTATTGTAAAATTATGTATAATATACAGATTTAGTTAAACATTTTTAAACCCATTATATATTCCATAATAAATCTCTATTAAATTTCTTGAATCATAATATAATGCATTATTGTTATGTCTATAAAAAATAATAATTTTATGAAAAATAATAATAATTACCTTTGGGTCTGGAGGTTTACCTTGAATTATGTTATAATACAAGAGTATAAACAAGATGCAATAGATATGTTTTTTCTCTAAACATATATAACAGGCAGATGTAAAATAAGGAGGTTGGCAATATAATATTAACCAACGAATGTAAGTTTTTGATTTGGTCGATTTTTGGTTATTTATTAGTTTTAATATATTTTTACTTTAAACTTATAAAATGTGCAATATGAAATATTATTTGCAAAATAATTATTAAGATGATCAATTTCTATGTTATCTATTTCTGAAATTACTTTATCATAAATTAAGAGAAAATTAATTTTTTTAAAATCGTTATTATTTTTAGAATTGGAATGTGCGACAAATAAATTATTGTCTAAGCCAAATCTAAAGAGGTGTCTGCTCATTGATCATAATTACTGAACCCCTGTCAGACACAAATCAACCTAAGGTAGATCCATTTTTTAAAGGGCCCATATGTATTCGACTTATAAATTCTCTTAGAAAATCACGTGATAGATCATCGCTTCTCTTATTTTTTTAATACTACAATAAATTATAAATGACCAAATTTTGGAAACGGCAATGTCTGAAACAAAAAAAATTAAAATCCATGCCAGGCTTGAAAATGGGAACCTTAACAAATAGCCGTAAAAAGTGGCATCACTGAGGAGATGTATCAGCTTTTTTTCTTTGCATGATGAAAATATTTTTATTTGGGCAAAAGGATCCTTCGAGCATGCCTAATCACAAAAAAATTAGACGAGATTTACATGTTAATCGAATAGTATTTGCAGCCATCCCGTCCGGTCCGGTCTTTTTCTAAAATGGGACTGGACCATTATGCCAGGGGATATCGGTCCCATTTCAAATATGTTTTTTTGTTATTCTATAAAAGTTTAATCTACAATAAATTTATTAAAAAAGAAATGTGCTAAATTACCAATATTTTGATAATTATATCGTCAAAAGTGTTAGACATTAAAAAATCATGTTATAAGTATTCATGTAAATTAATTAAAAAGTAATTCATTATAGACTTTTATCTTTTTTAGTGGTCTCGGTCGTACCGGATCGTGTTGTCGGACGTAATAGTCAAATGAGATCGGGCCGTCGATTACAGGTCCGACCGGACCAGTGCAAACACTATGATCGAGTTTAAAATTTAATGGGATCGATTTTGGTTTTTATTGGTTTCAATAATAAATAAATTAAAAGATTTTATAGACTGGGTTAGCTGTTAAATTTGGTCACATCTAAAAAGCTTATTTAAGTCATTGCTATATTATAACTTGTATATTTAAAATTTTGAGTCAATATCTTAATATAATAAATGATAGCAATACAAGAGCTTACTAGAATCACACTCGATGGTTCCCCATTTTTTCGCGGGTTTCGGTTTTGCTAATATAATATAATTTAAAAAACAAGGATATATTTTATAAAAATATTAAAATAAGTATACTGTCAAAATACTAATAAGGAGTGATACTTATTTACAGAGTTGGGCAGTACCGCGATTGTGTGCAATAAAATATTTGGGGAAAAACACAAAATAGTGTCGGCCCCCCTTTTACCCCACTTAACAAGACACACCTATTTAATAGTGTAGAATATTTTATTATAAATAATATTAAGGCTGTGCGATTAAATAAATAATCATTAATTTTATTTAAATTTTTAATTTCAAATATTCAAAAAGTTTAAAAAAAATATATATATAAATTAGAATATTTTTTAAAAAAAACGGTGGATGGGGATTATTATTTTGTCAGGCATAGAGTCGAGGATGGAGTTAAAATTAAATAAATAAATCTCAAGAGATATTCTTTGTCTGAGATATAACCTTTCACCCAAAGTTTTTAAAATAGAATTGTATCTTCGCCGAAGTTCCCTAATATGCTAGTAACAAAGGGTAGAAAATGTGCATTTTCTAATTGCAAATCTTGCTAAGTTTGGATAATTCGGCATCCAAATCAGAGACTGCCCTTTCGACGGCGTAAGAGTAACGACATCTAGTCTTTTATTATCAGATGTATTTAATCCGACGGTTTTAATGTGGACGGAATGTTGGTTAATAAAAGCGTCTTGTGGATTAAGTTGTTAATTATCCGGTGGCGGGGTGCCTGCCTTTAGAAAATTTACACTGTAATGAGTGATGACCTTTGCTGTCAACCTGAGTGTTGCAGAGGATGCATATGTGTGGTGTGACGATATTGCTGTTAAGACGGAGTCCTAATAATATCCTGAGTTCTTCAGTGCCATTCGT